CTGCTAGGGCACAAAAGACACACATCTGATTATGCCTCCTATTGGGGATTAAGTCCACAACCCTGGGCATGCGGGCTTGGAATTGAACCATGATCTCCTGGTTCACTGGTTAGTGCTCAACCACTGAGCCACAACCAACTGGGTGAGGATTACACGTTTTCATTTTGTGCTCCATAGTAATAGAGCTGCTGTAAAAGGAAAGGTCTCTATAGTATTGTCAGACTCCTGTCCTTCAGCAGGAAGTCCACATGCTCACCGTAGCCTGCCATCATCCCTAACAACATTCTCTAAAAAGTCTTCCCTTACTGGGTGGGTCACTTACTCCAAATTGATCTCTGGCTCCCAACTTTACTTAAGTCAATGTTTGATTTTCCTTAGCTAGATATAAATCTGGAAGACAATTCACCAAGTAAATTCACACTAAAGTGTTAATAGCTCCCAAATCTTAATGTGCTATATCTCCAAGAAAAAGTATATAAAAGAGAAGAGACTATTTTCTAGTTGATAAATTTCAGTTCCCATCTGCTTCACTTCTATGGGAGAAATCTTTCTGGACCTTCAAATCACACCCTATATGTCCTCAGTATGAGGAAGGCCTGCCTTCCTAGCCAGCTCAGAGCATCAGCAGGGACAATCCAGGCTGGATCATTGAACATTTACCCGTTGGCTTGAGCTGGCTGCCTCCACCAGAACAGCAATAACAAAAACAGGCCTTTTTATTTTTATCATGTTTTATGAGTTACCCAGAACTTTTATGTACACTGTTTGATATGGCTTTTAAATCATATTTTAACAAAAGCAAGGGTTCAGGCCTATTTTAAACAGGAGAAAATGGAGCATTTAAGTCTAGGGTTCAGAGAGTCAGTCCAGGGCTCTTTTCACTATTCCATGTTTCTTCTCTCTATAGCCTGTAATTTTTACTTTCTTCTGATTAGGAAATAAAAAGGTTTTCCATTTGCAAAAAAAAAAAAAAAGTTCAGGAAGTCTAAAATGTCAATTTTAGAGAATGTTACAAATTTTTCTCATTTTCTTAAGTCAACATTCAAAGAAGCCTTCAGAATGTTCTGTGAACTCTTTCAAAATAAACTTCAGACCCAATCAGTCCTCACTTCCTTCCTAGCTACCATTCCAGTTCCAAACACCATTCTTCTCTTATCTGAACAAGTCTGGAGAATGGGTGCCCAATAACAATCACAAGCCACTTCCTCTTCCTTGAAAATAGGCCCTGGTTAGGAAGGTATAAATTCCCTTAAACACCCATTGCCCAGCTGTTTGATTTAGTATAAAAGCACTTCACACTTTCCCAACCAAGAACCAGAAGCTTTTCTAACACAGAGTCCTCATTTTGAGAAAGAAACGGCATTATAATATTACAATACACTCTAATTTGCCTCTTTAGCCTTTATTTTCTCAAATTTAAATTCTTTGATTATCAGGGCTGAAAGAAACCATAAATGTTACCTATCAAGCCTTTGATTTTGTAGATGGGAAACTAAGACCCAGAGAGTGAGACATACAGCTGGCTGTGGCAGATTCAGAACTAGAACCCAGGTCTTTCAACTCCTCCATACAGACACTTTCTACTTTCCTGCATTGCTTAACATTGAACAGCTGATTCTGCTCAGAAGATTTTACTGTTTCTTACTAAAATGAGTTTCTACTCATATAGGGAGGTAGTCACCCAAATGTACATTTCACAGGAGGTGGCCAATACTATCCTGGCCAGAAGAGCTGCAAGGAGGGAGGCCTGGATGCCTTCTAGAGATACTTATATCCTGGATGCAGGCTGCTCAGCCAGGTGTCTTAGGTATCTCTGAGTCAGGGGACTTGAAAGGTGTTAAACTGGAAGAACACCCTTCCTATGATGTTGCTACTTCCTGCCTGTGTGCCTTGTGCAAGGCACTTAGGCTCTTGGGATTTCAATTTCCTCTTCTGTGAGGGGGTTTAGCATGCCCTGATGTGCACATGGGAAAGGGGCTGCATAAGAATGGGGTAAGGTGACTCCAGGTGACTAAAGTCTGGGAAGTAGGGTCCTAAGTAGAGTAGAAAACCGACTCGCCCTCTCAACCATTGGGACTTGGGAAGGAGGTCTTGGGGGTTGTCTGCAGAGGGATCAGGTTGGGGAAGTTTGAAGTACCTTTGTGCCAAATCAACATTTATCCAAAAGTTGGCCATTGGGGGTTTAAGGAAGAATTCATGCTACCTTTTGTCCTGCTACTTCTCTCTTAAGTGGTCTTTAGACTCCTAACAATGCCAGGATTACAAAAACAAAACAAAACACAGAAATCGTGTCACCACATCCTTAGCACTTCAGGAGGCAAGAAACCCAGACCTCACTTTTCCCAAGTAAGGACTTAATAGCTGGAGATCATGAGTAATTCTTGTGGTAAGCAGCTGAGGAGGAGAGAGGTGAGAGAGGAAAAGACTAGATGCAGGGACTGAGGCAAATATTGACTAAGCAGGGTAGGAAGGAAATTAGTGAAGCAAAGAAGGCAGGAAGGGCCAGTTGAAACCACACTGAAGTCAGAAGATGATAGGGAAAGGGGAGAACAACAAAGAGAAATGAGGACAGGAAATGGGGAGAGATGACAAAAGAAGGGCTGAAAGAGAAAGGTTAAGGAAAAGGAGAAAGGAGAGAGAGGAGCACAAAAAAACATCATGAGTGGAGGAGGAGGAGGAGGAGGAGGAGGAGGAGGAGGAGGAGGAGGAGGAGGAGGAGGATCTGAAAGGAGAGGAGCAGGAGTCCAGGGAGGGAGGTTGAAGAGATCCCAGAGCACTGAGCAAGAGAATAGGGCTTTCTTCAATCCTTGGCTGCCTGCTATTTTAGGAAAACTTTTCTTGTCTAGTCAGTGGGGCTGCCTAGGGCCAATTTCTGGGTGGAGGAGGTGTGAGATCATTTGGGGATGCCTTGGGATAGTTGGGTTGATATAACTAGACTCTCAGTCTCCAGTCAGAGCTAAGGAAGTACCAGAATATAAAGAGAAAATAACATGTATTCCTTAGGTTGGGATCATCAGTCTCAGAGTCATTGCTCTTCCAGACTATTTCAACACATGTGAGTGATTTTTAGTGCCCCACTGGTGCTTAGCCCTGCCTAGACTTGCCAAGCCCTGGATGCTCTAGCATGCCATTCTGTACTTTCTCCCATTGCTTTGGCTTTCAGACACAGAAAGAAATGTGACAATTATTCAAGCCATCAAGGACACCCCCTCCCACCCCACTTGTATATCAACATTATGATTTTGGTCTGAGTACTGAGAATACATACATGATGCCTGGCTGGTGAAAGCATAGGCCAAGTTCTTTGCTTCATTTTGTTTCTGGAAACACTTATGTTTCAGTTTTTTTATGGGCTTGAAAGTCAAGATATGTCAGCCTGCAGGGATCCCCAGTTCATGCCAAGACATTATCTAGCCCTTCCTTGATAAGGAATTATTTAGAAAAAATAAAAATAAAAACTATCAGAACACTGATCTGAACAGCAAACATTTAACCACAACCAGAATTCTAAAATAGCCTTTTTTAATTTTATTTTTTCAATTGTAGTTGATATTCCATATTATTTTATATTAGTTTCAGGTATACAGCATTAGTGGCTTTAAAAAAAAAGAGGAAAGGTTTAAGAAGTACAAATTGGTAGTCAACAAACAGTCACAGTGATGTAAAGTACAGCATGGGGAACATAGTCAATAATATTGTAAAAAGCATGTGGTGCCGGATGGGTACTAGAGCTTATCGGGGGGATCAATAAGTTATATGAAATAGCATGTCTTAAACTTCCCTTTGATGCATTTATGGAATGGGGGTGTGTGCTGGGTCTAACTAAGATCAGCTGATCCTTTCCCCACACATACACATAGTAATGGTCACAGATGTGCAGGGCATCTCTGGACTTTAGCAGGTCCAGACTGGTGGTGGTCCCTGACCTAAAACTGCTCCAACTGGCCAGGAATCAGTTAGAACACTCAGAGCTGAGTGTAAAGAACTTGGAATGTGGAGGTCTGGCCAACTGTGCAGTGTGTGATCCAGACTCCAGAGCATTTCACTGCCCAAGTCTAGGTTCAGTGACCCAAACATCAAGGTTCAATAGGTGGCTTCTGAGATTGTTTTCCATCTTCAAGTTTCTAGGCACCAAAATGAAGTTAATCTCATTTTTTGGTTTGTTCATGTGTGTTTTTTCTTTTCTGGAACCTGAAGTTTTTTTTGTTTTGTTTTTTTCACACTAGGAAGACAGGTTAGACTAGAAGTTTCTCAGCTACTGAAAAAGAGGAAAGAAGGGTGAGCCTAAGGTAATTTTTCCATTAGAGGGAAGGTGAAGTTCTTTTATAAGTAGCCCATTAAAGTGTAATCTTTAAGACTTTTTACGGAGATAATGGAGAAAGAGATGATCCAGTCATGCTAATATCCAAATTTCATTCTTAAATTAATTCTTAGAGGAATGATTCTGAATCTCCACTTGTCACCCTCATACACTTCTGCATTTGTTTTGCCCTCTAACATGTTTGAGTATAAGGACAGAAGGGTTGTCTGGGCACATTTGCATGTATGAGGCCATGGGTGGTAGTGCACTTGTCTTTTCAGCTGCGTTTGAGCTTCTGTGTGTAATCGAGTGCACATGTACTTGTATGAGTGAAATTATGGAATGTGTATGTGCGTAGAATATCGAAGACTGTGTAGATGGTGTGACAGGTGTGGAATCCTGTGGGTCCGTGGGTGTGCAGGGTTTTTTTTTTTTTTTAAGTGAGCGACTTTGGATCTTGCAGCCTCCTCTCACTTCTGTGATTGATTTCACGAGGCTAATGGTGCGTAAAAGCGCTGGTGAGATCTGGGGGCGCCTCCTAGTCTGACGTCACAGAGAGAGTTTAAAAAGGGGGAAGCCGGTGGAGAGCACACAAGCTGCTTTAGGAGCCGCAAGGTTCAGAGCCTTCGCTGCAGCCTGCAGATCCGCTCCTAGAGTTTGACCAACTGGGCTTTAGCTGGGCTTCCCAAGCGCCGCGGAGATGCTCTCCTGCCGCCTCCAGTGCGCGCTGGCCGCGCTCTCCATCGTCCTGGCTTTGGGCAGTGTCACTGGCGCGCCCTCGGATCCCCGACTTCGCCAGTTTCTGCAGAAATCCCTGGCTGCTGCCGCTGGGAAGCAGGTAAGGAGACCCCCTGGACGTTTTCTTTCCCCTCTCCAGAATCCCTACCCTTAATCCCCTTCGCCTTAGTACCCTTGGGTGGATTTAAGAGATGCTCCTGAAGAATTTGGGTGCTTTTCTGGGTCCCTCAGCTCCCAAAGCTCTTAGGAAAACTTTCAAAGTCCAGAATCCCCTCCCCCCTCCCCCCCTAACCAGCGCAGTCTGTCACAGGTGAGTTCTTTGCATTCAAGAAAATTCTGAGACCTGGGCGATTGAACTGGAAGGTATGATGGTATCTATCCTTGGTGCTGACCGCGGGAGGCGCTGACCCAGGTGCTGAAAGAGCGCACCTCTGACGCTGCTACCCACTTCTCATGCAGTGGACGGAGGGCTAAATGGGCATTCTACAGACGGAACACAATGTGTTTAAAATTATGAAAGGTCTTATTCCCCACGGTGACTTAGTGAAAGTGATAAGTTTGTAGTTGATGAGGTGAAAATTGAGTTAAACAAACTGTTGGCACATGTTTATCTTTGCAAAACTGCTTTAAAGATCTGTTGTTTCTCTATGCGTGTTTGAAGCCTACAGAGACAGAAAAAATGCAGAAACATTTGATGTTTCAAGCCTCTTTGTATAATTGAAAATTATAGTAACTACCTTATTTTTATAACCTTAATGATTTTAAGTGACAGAGGTGCACAAATGTGAAAATTGGGTTTTGGGTGGAGCTGAACCTGCTTCCCAAACTAGGCTTTTTCATTTCTTCTCCATCCTCCTGCTCATTCTCTCTATCTCTCTCCCCTATACCCCGTACAGGAACTAGCCAAGTACTTCTTGGCGGAGCTGCTGTCTGAACCCAACCAGACAGAGAATGATGCCCTGGAACCTGAAGATCTGTCCCAGGCTGCTGACCAGGATGAAATGAGGCTGGAGCTGCAGAGATCCACTAATTCAAACCCGGCTATGGCACCCCGAGAACGCAAAGCTGGCTGCAAGAATTTCTTCTGGAAGACTTTCACATCCTGTTAGCTCTATTAATAATTGCTGTCCATAATATGACCTCTGATTTCTCTCCTTTAAACCCCATCTCTCTTCCTTAATTCCCCCAAAACTAATAAAGACCCTCCCAGTAGAAATTGATGAATGTAAATACAAAATAAAATTATGATGAAATTATGAAAAGCAAGAATTTGATTTCTTATTGAGTAAACCTTTCTGTTCAACAATACATGATTAACTTCCATTATTATTTCATTGAGTTATTTGAGCTATGCACTACAATTCTCGAAGACACACTATTTAAAATTTCCTGTGGTAATAAAGGTTATGTTTTAATGATAACCCTCATAGTTTGGATGACTTCAAACTTACATAATTTCAGAAAACTCTATGAATGATCATTTTAATTCAATAACAATTTGGAAAGGGGCTGTTGCAAGCATCCATCACATATTAAATACAATTAAAATTATACGTGGAAATAAATATTAGTATTTATTGATAGGCAGGCTGAATGTCCTACTATTTACCAGACTGAAGTGTAAAAAAACACAATATATACAAAATTGGAAGAAAAGGCCGGTTAGAAGAAAGAAGCTGGTTTAAATAGCTAAAATAACCTTCTCAGGCTTTAAAATCTGTTTCCAGTCTTTGGACATTTAGAGACATATCACAATCCTCTCTGTCAAAGACAATCCTAAGTGAACACTGTTAAATGATTGCCTCTGTCTAAAAGTAAGATCCATATCACTTTTATTGTAAAATTCCAGCATCAGAATACCATGGGTTGCAATAAAAAATGTGTGTTTGTCAATCCAGGAAATACTACACTGTTGAAGTTATTGGGACACAATATAACAATCCCAGAATAACTGAAGGAGAGATCACAAGTCTTCTTTTGATTTTAACAAAATGAGAGTCAAATAAAAATGCAAACAGTAATAACATTCAGTACATGTTAGCTATTATTATTAGCATTATAATATATTTAAGGGTATTGTAAAAAGTAGAGATAAAAGATAGTTAATTTAACTCACAGGGAACTTAAATATATATCCCATTGAGGATGTGTGTTTTTGCTACCACCTCTATTTCTGAATAACTGCTAGAATAATAAGCCAAATATAACTACATAAACTCAGTATAAATCTGTATAGTATGAGCTTATGAATGGCAACATATAAACATCTAAGAGAAACTTTATATTTCATAGAAAATATTTGTGTTAAATAACAATATTTTTAACATGAATATTGCTTCACTGAAGTTAATTCCTGAACAGCTGATTAAGCAAGAGACGACACAAACTACTTTACTAATCTTTATGAAAACAGAACAGCCTTTAAGGTTCCGGTGCATCTTTTATTTACAATACATTCAGGAGGGAATTAATAAGAATCCACTTAGGGGATGTGTCTGTGTTAAATGCCTTATGTACATCTTGTTACCAAGCAACTCAGTGGAGTCATAGAATCACATTATTATGATTAAAGCACAGAAAGGAACACAATTTAATTGTTTTCTGAGCAGTGCATAGATTGTATGAGTGACAGGGAGGGGGGTAGTAAGTTTTTAGTGTTATCTTTAGTTGTCAGTTCCCAACAGTAGTATGGGAGTAATTGGCAAGAATTATGTAATCATGTGCCCAGATATATATTTATTCCTTTTATTAAAAAAGTACCCATTGTGTTTTTTATTTTATTTTTTAAAAAATATTTTTTATTGGTTTTTAGAGAGAAGGGAGAGGTAGAGAGAGAAACATCAATGTGAAAGTAATCGGCTGCCTCATGCACACCCCCTATCAAGAAGTGAGCCCTATAACCTTTCAGTTCATGAGATGATGCCCAACAACTGAGTCACACCAGCCAGGGCTCCATTGTGTTTTTTAAATGTTTTCAGGGGTGAGGGGTATTAATATAAGGTGACAGGAAAAGATTTGACTTTGGGCTGTGGGCACAAGTGCAATATATAGATCTTTTAACATAGAAATACACACCTGAAACATATATGTTCATGTTGACCAGCGTCACTTCAAACAATTTAATACATAAATATTTAAAAGTATTTTCTGATATAACAAGCATTTGTTTTCTTGTATAACTTCTGCAAAGGAGAAACAAACTTAAAAACACTTTTTCAATGGGGGTTGAATGGAGGTGGGCAAAGGGAGGAAAATGGGTACATCTGTAATGGTGTCAACAATAAAAATAAAGTTAAATAAAATAAAATACTTTTCCCAAATGAATAGAACCTCTATAATTCTTGTCTTGCCATTTGCTTTAAATAAAACAAGAGCACTAACATTATACTCACCAGGTTAAATATTAGATAGAAAGTTCAATTTCCTATAACAACCTTACAATGAGTAAATACAATCTTCTACAATAAACAAGCATTATAGCCTTAAGGTTAAGAGTTATAAAACAATAAATAATTGTAGTTAGAGTAGTATATTATAGGAGAGCTTCTTACATACAAATTACTCAATATCATAGTCACAAGATACAAAAGAACAAATGTGAAATAAGATTTAAACTGTGGTTAACTCTCTCGCTCTCCCTTTTCCTTGTATCTTTCAACTTATTCCTAACTTTCTTAATTTTTTTATTTATTGATTATGGTATTTCTTATGTGTCCAAATCTCCCCTTTGTCCCCCCCCACCTACCCCACCCCAGCTCCTGCCCTCACCTCCCTAGTGTCTGTGTCCATTGGTTATGCTTATATGCATGCATACAAGTCCTTTGATTGGTCTCTCCCCTTTACCTTCACCTTGCCTACCTTCCCTCTGAGGTTTGATGGTCTTATTGATCCTTCTCTGTCTCTGGATCTGTTTTTGTTCATCAGTTTGTGTTGTTCATTATATTTCACAAATGAGTGAGATCATGTGATATTTATCTTTCTCTGACTGATTTATTTTGCTTAGCATAATGCTCTCCAGGTCCATCCATGCTGTAGCAAATGATAGGAGTTCCTTCCTTTTTACAACAGCATAGTATTCCATTGTGTAGATGTACCACATTTTAATCCTCTCATCTGCTGATGGCACCTAAGCTGTTTCCAAATTTTAGCTACTGTAAATTGTGCTGCTATAAACATAGGGGTGCATATATCCTTTCTGATTTGTGTTTCTAGTTTCTTAGAATATATTCCTGGGGTTTCTGGGTCAAAAGGGAGTTGCATTTTTAGTTTTTTGAGGAAATTCCATACTTGCTACAACAGCCTGCATTCCCACCAGCAGTGCAGGAGGGTTCCTTTTTTCCACATCCTTGCCAGGACTTGTGATTTGTTGACTTGCTGATGATAGCCATTCTGACAGGTGTGAGATGGTACCTCATTGTCATTTTTATTTGTACCTCTGGGATGATTAGTGGCTTATTCTCTGCCACAGTCACAGGCTTCTGCAACCCTGAACAAGTTTCTATTTAATTTAATGGCAGAGCTTGAACAAGTTGTCTTCTGTTCTGGGCCTTAGTTTCCCCATTTGAAAATGAGCATGCTAATAGAGTTGATTCCTTAGAGTTATAAGGATTTGCTGAGACTATGTATTTAATGTTCTTAGTACTTGGTGTGTTGTTCGATAAGTGGTGTTTATTTGTTCTCACATGTGCTGTGCATTAAAGCTTCTCATTTTTGTCATTCCCATAAGTTCAAATATAACCCAGCCTTCAATATGTATTTTACATTATTCTTGCTCCATAAAATTCTAGCTTTATGTCCTCACTTGTGATACCTCATTTCTCTGAGTATTTAATCTTAATCTCTTCCACGGTGCTTACTTGTCACTTGCTACTGTTTATAATTGCATGAATATATGTAAAGGAGTATTTGTGAACTTCCAGTGAATATGTCTTGTCCATTCAGTATCACATACAGTGTATTACATATAGTAGGTTATCAGTGTTCATTAAAGAATGAATGAATGATTCCTGAGCTTGCAGTCCCAAGTGAAACAAATCTCTATTTACTAGGCAACAACAATTCTTAATTCTTTAGTTGGCACAGAAGAATGGCATTAGTACTACTTTATTTGATACTGATGTGACATCAGACAGAACAGCCCATGATTCTGATTTTACTAACCACTGAAACATCTGATCATCATACTCATTTTAGAAGCTTCCTTCAGTCCAGTTTTCATATCTTACAAATTTTTCTAACAGGTCTTGCTTAACTGTCCACTAAGCAGGATCAATTTTTGGCCCTATAGCAAATTATTCTCGCTATAAAGATACTTTTGTTTTATGGTGACACAAGATATACCTTTAATTCTGAATATCAGTCATGGGAAAGGACTCAAACATCATCTCATCCTTACCATTCATTTTACCAGAGACTGGCATAGGGAGAGATGAAGTTATCTGCACAAGACATCTAGTAAATTGATGCAAAGTCTAGTCAAAGCCTAAGTTCCCCTCTTCTACCCCCGGGTTGTTTTTTATTATTTTACCACTTGCTCCACCTGAAATCTGCCTTTCTAGATAACTGATGTATTTCATTTGTCTGTTGTGAATTCTAATTTTGTCCTTGGAACTTCACCTTCCACTAAACAAATAATCTACATCTAAGGAAGAATAAGACAATTGATACAAAATATATGGTTATAATATGATATTAGAAAGAAATAGTGAAAACAGTGATTGAAGAAAAGCAACTCAAGAAGGATAGTCTTTACTAAATTAGACCCAAGAAACAAAGAATGATTCTGTCTTAGAGGGAAAGGGGCTGTCGCAGCAAGCAGATGGACTCCCCCATTAAGGAGATGGAGTTGTTCCTGTGTCGTGGTCTTCAGAGAAGTCGTGATTCACACCCACAGGACCAGGGTTACCTCAATAACCACCTCTAGTTCTTGAGTGGGAGTGAGTGTCTTAGTACAAGGTGCTCAATTTCTCAATACCTAGCATATTGACCCTAAGGATATGCTAGGTAATGAGAAATTGAGCACCTTGTACTAAGACACTCACTCCCACTCAGGGTCAAGGACTTGCTGGAGACTGAAAACAAAGTTTGTATGATAAAGTCTCTGCTTTCA